GTTTCCATCCATTTCCTTCGCAGTGGTTGGACATACTAAAATGAAATTTGGTATACAGCTTTATCATAAGAATATCTAGGTCTGTTTTTGGTACGGTCGAACTATATAGGACAGATTTATGCCCCTTTGACTTAGAATAATTCCAGTAATTTGTAGTTTCCCTTTAATTTTTTTTTGCATGGATGTTCAGGGGGGAGGGGGCATAAATGTTTCACATACATCTGTTGTTTATAAAGAAAAAAGTATCTTATTGTTTTATAACCTGTTTTGTAACCTGTTTTATATCTTACCCAGATAATTCAGTCACTCTTTTCTGTCAATTTCGGATTCTCTGATTGCTTGTATCCTGACATTCATAAGCAGTCAATAGAGGGTGCTAATTAAAGTATTTTAGAGCTTCTGTTTTTCCTAGACATTCCAGTTTGAAGATACAGTTGTTAAACTACCTCATTCTTACAAGACCTCTTCACCACATTCCCAACTCCCAGAACCACTGTCTATGTCTCAGCTTGATAAAATGCTACAAGATCTGCTGCATTCCAAACTAGGACAAGTGGATGTCACAGGACTCTTACAAAAAATCTACAAATATGCTGACTTCAACAACAATGGAAAGGTACAGTTTTAATAAGGGTTAGAATTGGTCAAATAGTTGATAAGAAATCAAGTGTTAAAACTCTGATGTAAAAATTGAAGACATTTAGTTAAAATAAGTAAAATGATGACACAAAAATATATGAGTAAATGATTCTGTATTTTTTCCCCCAAGAATTGGTACCTTAGATGTAGATGTTTTTTGAAATTATTTTGAAATTTTTATCTTATATTGAGATGTTTTACCTCTTTACAGCTAACTTATGGGGAAGCAAATTCAGTTTGGCAACTTTTGAACATCCATGAATTCTTCATTCTATTCGTGTTTGAGGAGGATCCAATATTTCCATTGAGAAATGGAACATGTGGGCCTCTTTATGCCCATCAACATGTCAAAGCAAGCCCACTTTTTAACAAACACAACAAAACCTTTTTGGATAACTTTTTCTCTAATACATATCGCTGGAGTTTTCCCACATGGGATAGGAGAGTGAAAGTGGCTGTAGGTTTACTAGAATATGGTATTACATTTTCTGAGAAGTATAATGCCAAATTTTACATGTGTGATTATGTTGAACAGTGTTTTGGCCACACTTCGTTATTTGAGGTCAGTCTGGTTTCATTTGAGAATATTATGTCAGAATTTATGATAGGAAATATATTAAGCCAAAAGAAATGCTCAAAAGACTCGCATTGTCAATATCAGAATTTGTGTCACTCGTTGTGCAATAAACAGACAGGAAAATGTACAAGTGACATTATGGAGCCTTCTCATACCTCAGTTTGTGAAGTTCTGAGAGATTACGTTTTATTCGATGCGCCCGTTCATGTGAAGACCAAATTAAATGACTTGCTGAAAAAATGTGATCGATCAGGGCGAAAAATTGACAAAACGGGTAACAGTAGAGAAGTCAATGAGCACTATGTCAGGTACAACACCATTTTGTTTGACATCCAAGATCTCCTGTGGGATGAGATAAAAAATAAACCCCCTAACTGGCTCCATCCTCCCAAGCCAAAGAAGAAGCCAAAACAAAACCCTAAGTTTACTGGGAAGTGAAGCATTATCAAGGTCCTTAAAGATGACTTTTTTGTTTAAGTTTGCAGTTTGTTTAAACAGTTCATCATTATTTTGACTTCCATTTCATTTCATTCCAGTTTTGAATTCTTTTGATTTAATATTTATGCATGTTTTTCTTTTTAATTTATTTAAATTTGTTCAATTGACATTTGGATTGCTTTTCTATCTCACAAAGCTCAAGCCTTATAGCTTTTTTTCATATATCAATTTCCAGTTTTATCCTTTAATAGAAACTTTATTTCAGTAGTGATAACTTATTAATAGAGGGGAAAAACATGTTGTAGCCCATTACAGCACTGTTTTTCTTCCTTGTTTAAATTAATAATAACTACTACAGTGTAGGAAGGATTTTTAAACACTCAGACAAGTGCATGTTATATACACTCTGTAGTATAATGCAGAATTTGACATTTTCACTACATGACAGGATATTCTTTAGCAGGAAAATAAATTTTATTGGAAAAAATGATTGTGCATTTGTGTAATTATTCACTTGGTATATCTTATGCATATCCTTCATTTAATCTGTACAGACCAACATTTGCAGACATTTTTGTAAAGTTCTTAAGGGAGATAACTTGGGTTTCTTCATGCAGTATTTTTTAAAAGAAAGTATAAGTTTGCTTTTAAAATAATTACGTTATTAAAAAATTATTCATATTAAAATATCTGAATTTTTATCTTCTGAATGTACATATCATATTTCATATTTAATTGAAAACTGTGCATGCTATTGTATACATTTACTGGTTGATATTAAAGTACATTTTAAATATTTTTATTTAGTAAGGTAAATTCATGTTTGCAATACAACTTGCCTATGAGCACAATATTGTGAAAATTATTATTTTTTCTTTTTAACAAATAATCAAATTGCATCTAGTCATATTGTACTTCAGACCATTTTCTTGACACATATTTGCTCACCCATTGGCTATATAACATTTAGCAGAAAGATTATTTTCTCTTGGTTGTCATTTAGATCATTTGTGAATCACTATCAGGTACTTGCCAAAAACTTAATTTGAGACAGCTAGGTGCTTTTAAAATGAGAATCTGAACAATATGTACATGTACTGGTATTTCAACCGGTACATATTTTAAAGAAAATTTTTGTGTGTACCTTTGATGTTTTGAGTCTTTTAAACTTTATAAAATATGGGATTCAGTCAGTATGTTAAAATGTTTATGACAATATTTTTCTGTTTTAAATAAAACAATATGTGTTCAACAGAAAATTTATAATATCTGTGTACGAACATACATGATACATTTTTTAAAAAAGAAGTATTATAAAAGTGTTCTACTAGTCATGGCTATTATAGGTACTATTGTACATATGGTAGGTATTAAATGTCAATCATTCTAGTCTGAATTATTTTTAAGTAATGTTGTTAGTAATTGTTTAAATGTAGTAGATATAGATGGGTATGATTAGAATTAGGAATATCGTGTTGACATCCGTTTTAATATGAACCTTTTTTCTATCGTTTCGGAAGTTGATGTTTTTTCTTAATTAAGCTGATGTTCTGTTATAACTTATATTGCCTTCAAAACTTTACTGCTCATTGTGTATGGATTTCTTATATATCAAAGGACTTTCACAATTATCAAAAAAATGAGATCTCTGCCATAATGCTTCTGTATAAACAATATATCAGGTTTTGTTTGTTAATTAAGGTCATGTTAGGGTCCAGGAATTTGGCAGCTGCAATGACACATTTTTGTACATATATTACTCTGTTGAAAACTTTGTAAATGGTTATTAAAAATATTTTTTACTGTAATACTTTTCTAGCATTAAAACTAAGTTAATAATACTTCTGGAATTTTTATGTGAGAGGTCTGCAGAAAATTTTTTACTTTACTCAATTAATTTTATTTAAGGAAGTAGTTCTAACCACAAAAGGAAATAATTTTTTGGACTTTAAGAAAATTGCTTCATGTAAAGGTGTACCACAGGAGTATAAAGTTTTTATCGTACCAAAAAAAAATCTGGAAAAAATATTTCTAACTCTCAACTAAAAAACACTATTTTACATGTAGTTGAGGGTGGGAAATATTTTTTCCAGATTTTTTTTTCCTATGCAATAAAAACTTCACACTCCTGTTGGTGTACATATTGAGTAATCTACTGTATTTCATTTTAACATAGAGTTTGCAGGTCACTATAATGGCAAAAAATTACATGGAATTAGATATGTTGAGGGTAATTCCTCAAAATAATTATTGATTACAGAAAATGCTGCATGAAAAATAAATATGTAACAAGATTGAGAGATTGCTCATGAAATTCTAGTACAGCTGTATATATTATCTTCTTTCGTGACTGTGTATATAGTTGTATACATTAAATTAATTCAATATTTCCATGACAAGGATTCAAGGAAATTCATATATGGCCGTATTAAAATGATATACATGAAATACACAATTGCCTGTTAATTTACAGAAACCATAGATGTACTTAATTCTTTTTGGTTGTACTGTACATAATTTTTGTTGTTTTTGTTTTTTTTTGTTGTTGAATGATTTTTCATATTGGAGTGGAAGATGGGGCTTTGTTATTACAGATATATTTCATGATGAAAATGTTCCACAAAAATAAAAAAATAAAACAATTGACTTGTTTATCCTGACTTATATATTTTTGATATTGCATTTATTTGTGGGTATTCATTTGTAATGTTGTATACAAGCAACACTGTTAAGATGGCATGAAAATAAAGACACATTCTTGATTTAGAAAAATTGTCATTTATTATAAAAGTAAAGTGACAATGGCATGCAAATATTTATGTTCCCCAAACGAAGTTGGGGAACATATTGTGTTTACTGTAATGCTTATACAAGTATTTATGTAGATTTGCGAAATCAAGGTTTGCAAGAGCGCGCACGTGCAACACGTGAAATGACCAATGTAATAGATGAAGCCGTAACTTTTCTATTTTTTGATGAAATGTTTTGAAAATAATAATATAAGTATATATTAGTACCAAAAGTCAAATTATCATGGTTATCATTCATTTAAATAAAATTTTTATTAAATTAAACTCTGATATAAAAGGGAGCTGGTGCAATCTGATTGGCTTAAACTTTAAATGCCAACATCCCTCTAAATTTAGAATATGAATAGGTATAATAGATATCTGCCTATATGTGATATGTAATGCATAAAATGACATTTTACAATGTGTTATTTCCTTTGATTGGATAAACATGCCATGATTTACCTTGCATATGCGTGCGCGCGCATGTGTAACGTTAAATGATATATAGTTGATATCATTAATTTTTATAGAGTTATAAAAAAGTAAAGAGACAATGGCATGCAAATATTTTATTTTGCTACCAGGTTTTATATCCATTTTGAAATACTGTTATACAATTTTTTTTTTTTTCGTGTCCAGCTCTATTTTTATGCTCTAGCTTTGACAGTTTTATCTATTGCTGGGTTTAAAAACTCCTTTCCAGTCATATCTGTCATATTGGTACAATCTCTGATGGCAGAATTTGGCACCTACAAAAAAAAAATCAAATTTAAAGATTATTCAATTGTTAAGTTGCACTTATTAATTCAGTCTTCAACAGAGGGCACTGTAGACTTCATCTGCACCTTTATATCTCAAAAATATGTGTAGTATTCCCTGAACACTTTGTTGGTTATTTACTGTTTGAATTTTGATGCTTAATACCTTATCCAGGGGAGTGTACTGTGGATGATGATGGGGAATGACAGGGTTATTGGCCTTGGTATTGTATGCTGTAACAAATGCCCATCTCCTTAAGTCACTGTTGTTAGGGCCACTGGTGTGTAATAAATTACAGTGAAAGAACAGGGCATCACCTGAAAAGCATTGTAAAAATTAGATCAAAAGCTACTTATTTGATGGAAATTACCGATATCTTGATGAGAAGAATAAATTGAGGACCAGTAAATTGATCTTTACCATTTTTTAAATTTTGACTTAAAATTATACATTGCTCTCTGTATGCACATGTAAATTATTAAAAGTAACTTATGAATATGGGCTTGAAATTTTAAATCCTTTATTTTTTTATGACAGACATACCAGCTTCCATTTCCACGTACTCCATGGGACACATTTTTTCAATTTCTTTTATTCTGTCTACATCAGCTCTGGTCTGTCCCGCAATCATCAAATGTTCAATCCTTCCACATTTGTGTGAACCTCGCAAGATCTGAGGAAATTCATAACCATTAGGGATACCGAACATTTATGTTGTTTTATTCATGATGATACCTGATTATATTTACCTGTAAGCAGCCATTGGCTTTGTTGCACTTGTCTATTGCCAGGAAAACTGTTGACATGTCTGGGAACAGACAACCATTCTTGTACCAGTATCTAAGTTACAATATATACATTATGCTTAATAATTCAAAAGTTAGTACTGATTGAAAATTTTGCATAAGATCTGTGAATGTAATGCGTTACCCATAATCTTGGTGCCATAAGAAACTGCCGCCCGTTTGTGGTTCTTTCATGTTGAATTTTGTATGATAATGGTAAACCTCTCCTCCAAGTAACTACGGAAAATAAATGCAGGAAATAACAAATTTCTAGTAATAAATTTGCTTATTTTTTTAGGAAATCCTGCGAAGGAGTTGAAAATCATAAGCCTCTGGAGAAATTATCACAGTGTTCGCAAGAGCCTTGTAACGCGAATATTTCTCGCCGCGAACCGGTCCTTAAAGTCTCTTTGTCTATGAACAACAGATCCAAAAAAGGCTTGATCGAGAAAATTAATCGTCGGGAACTAGTTTACCCCCGGTTAATCGCGATATAAAGTCGTCGCCATTAAAAGTTAGAAAGTTAGTTCACAGTATTCCGTATACATGCACTGCAAAATTTTTGCTCTTAGTTATTTGAATTTCGTCTCTCACTCTTGTTCCCAGTGGGCACAAATTCAAAAGAGTTGTCTCTCCCACAACTAGGTCTAAACAGAGGGAGATCATTAACAATTTTTTAGTGTTTGAGGCGAAAAAAAAACTTTGTACAAATACTATCACATGAAGTATTTAGGATTTGGTTATTTCAGAATTAAGTATTTGCAGTCTTAACATGATTGGAATGAATTCTCCTGTTTTCCCAAAATGCATTTAGAAATAGTGGCACTTTATTAATTTTTCCGAAAATTATCTATTTTATAATTTTCTAAATTTTTTCATTAATGTATTTACATGCATGCATACTTGTATACTCTTGGCCTCAAATGTCATGAATTGCACTTTATTTCCACATTTCATAAAGACAATTTCATTTAAAATTCTAAATGCTATATGTCTTACCTTTTCTGTGGTATCGACAACTTTTTCACAGCGCACTACCATTCCCGTGACGTCATTCCCTGGGTGGCTCCACAGGACCATTTTACACTCCCTCCCTGACCCATCGGGAAGCTTTAAAAAGGTTACATATTTGAATTGAATTATATTCATAGGAAATTTTGTGTGAGGCTACGATTTTCATGTGAAAAATTAACTATGTTAATTATTAAAACCAACGAATCTTTGGTATTGTAGAAACGCCTTGTTTTACCCAGAGTCACTAACACAAAGTCTTTTAAGAATAGAAATACATGTTCATAAATGAGATACTGGGGAGGGGGGGGGTTAAATCAAACAAACAAACACCAAAACAAAACTGCAGAGCAACAGCAAAGTAAAGGTACAAATTAAGAACCAAACAGTGAAACACACAATATTACACCCCACAGATACTTACGACATATGCGTGTTTAGTGATAATTTTAGACACCATGGATACTTACGATATATGCGTGATTTGTAATGTTATAAGACACCACGGATACATTCAAATGTACGCCACCAAATTCGTCTTTGGTTATAATAAGACACCACGGATACATACAAATTAATGTATGCCATATGTGTGTTTGATTATATCATTAGACACCACGGATACTTACGTCATATGCGTGTTTCTTTATGTTATTAGACACCACAGATACTTGAGCCACATATGCGTGTTTCTTTTTGTTATTAGACACCACGGATACTTACGTCATACGAGTGTTTGGTTATAATATTAGACACCTCGAATACTTACGCCATATGCGTGTTTGGTTATTTCATCGCTGTTCTCTAGCACCTCTTTCACCTTTTGTAATTCAGCAGTATCGAGAAGTTTTCTGTTATAACGTGAAGAAAAAATTCAAATAGTGAATATACATGTTTGATTGTTTCAAAAATGAACTCTAATGTCCTCTAAGCAGGGTACTAGATGTAACTGTTCAATATTTCTTACCTGACCATTATATAGCCATAATTGTCAAAGTCTTCCTTCATTTTATCAGTAACTTCAAACTTCCCATCCTCGTACACATATTCTATGTTAAAACAAACAGCAACAAATGTTAAACAAATAAAAACAAAAATAACAATTACTTCACAAATAATTAGGTGCGATTTCCTTTTTCTGTCGATGATGAAGATTGTTTGATTTTTTTTTTCAAAAAGCTCAAAATATAAATCAAAAACAAATTTTTTTTATAGTTTTATAATACAAGAAAGATGACCTTATTTTTTGAAAATTATATTTCTTGTCAATTGATGAAGTAAAATTTGAGAACATACAATAGGATATAGAATCTAATTCTTTTGCTTTCAATCTTATATAAGTGAATAATAATTGAAAATAGTTGAAAAAATCAACAAGAATTTGATACTGAGAAATGAAACACCATACCCGCTGACGTCATGTTTCTGTTTTCTGAAACGAGAGAAATATCGAAGGAAATATCAGTATTGAATTACATACTCTGATCGCCTAGTGTCATCGATAATCGGGCATTATTGATCATGCAGTTTTGAAAAATGTAATCAAATATCGCATTTTTATTTTCATATACTGAGTTGAAAAATATATTTAATAAAATTGTGAAATGCAGTTTACATTGTTTTTGTGTGTGTGACCCCCCCCCCCCTCCCCTTTTCCTTGAGTCAACCTTGTAAAATAATTTATTAAAGTGAAAAAAAAAGTTATAAAATCTTAACTACTAAGATTTACGAAAATGACAGTAAACGTATATCAATGAAACTATTTACAAGTCAGAGGAGTAAGCCCCTTTTTACAAGCTTTATAATAAATTTACAAATCACGCCCCTCAGCTGAAAAGATAACCGATACACATTTCACACTGAAGAAAAGATGTTATCTTTAATAATGGGAGGAAATATTATACAAAACACGACTGTCACCTAATAAATTAAATATTAAAACGTAGATTACCTGTCGATGACTGGATACACAAAGTGATATCATAGGAGACTCCTTGAACCTTGTATATATAATTGTGGATGTAATCTAAATCGAGCGAGTATGTCACTCTAGAACACAGTAAATAAACCATAGCAAGGCGATATTGTGAAACTGGTCAATAAATATCACAGATACTCGTGGATAGAAGACCCTCCCCCCTCTCACCCCGATTTCCCTTTAAATACAATAGAACCTCGTTAATTCGGACGCCAACAATCTTCGGCACTTTACTTTCCAGACGGAATTAGCTGGGAACAATTCATTTATAACTGAAATTATTTAGTACTTCTTAAGCATAAAACAATGTTCCATGGCCGTAGAAACCGGGAATGGGGTTGGGGGTGGGTGTTCGTTTGCCAATATATAGAATACAATAATATGCTTCTGTCCCAATAATGAAAGGTTTAATGATTTTTTTTCTTTGTTTGTCAAGGAGCTCTTGGTAATGCACACCCCCCTGCAACTCAACACACTACCAAACCGATATTGCTTCATTCGAGCATTTGTTCCGATTATGATATAGCAGCTCTCCGAAAAAATAATAAACAGATTGGATGATCACCCATCCCATTTTTTTCAGAACAGAGAGCTACAGATCTACATGTATTACGAAGTACATGTAGGTGTCTAAGTAGGTTATCACTTTCATTAAAAAACATGCCGGTTAAAAAAAGATTGGACAGATTCCTTCATGTACATGTTTTATTAATATCTAATCTCTGAATTATTATATCTCTACTTGGCACAGACTTGATACATTTTTTGTAAACAGAACTAGAACTTTAAAATACAGGGCTTAATCTCATTAAACTGATTAAACACTACCTGTTTTATCATTACATGTATTTAATAAGTGACTGAAACATTAGTTCTAGTCCTTTAATTAACCACAGCATCCAGCTTTATGACTATTAGAAAACAAGAGGCCCAGGGGCCACAGCTCTCACCTGAGCACATCGGCTAGGAAAAAGCACATATCAGATCAGAACTGAAAGTTTACTGAGTGGGGGGGGGGGGGGGGGCTTGAATTTTAACCCCCTAGGGGATCATGATTTGAACAAACTTGAATCTACACTACCTGAGGATGATTCCATATAAATATTACTAATCATGGCTTTGAAGTACGTGAAAAGAAGATTTTAAAAGATTTTTCCTATATATTCCTATGTAAAACTTTGATCGCCCATTTTGGCCCCACCTACTACCTGAGGATGATTTCACATGAGTTTCATTTTTCCTGGCCCAGTGGTACTTGAGAAGATTTTTAAAGATTTTTCCTATATATTCCTATGTAAAGCTTTGATCGGCCATTTTGATCCCACCCTACCCCCAGGGGTCATGATTTGAAAAAACTTCAATCTACACTACCTGAGGATGATTCCACATGAGTTTCATTTTTCCTGTCTCAATGGTTCTTGAGAAGAAGATTTTTACAGATTTTTCCTATATATTCCTATGTAAAACTTTGATCGGCCATTTTGGCCCCATCCTACCCCCGGGGGGTCAAGATTTGAACAAATTTCAATCTACACTACCTGAGGATGATTCCACATGAATTTCATCTTTCCTGGCTTAGTGGTTCCTGAGAAGAAGATTTTTTAAAAATGCCATTAATTTTTCTCTAATTCATAATTATTTCCCCTTGGAAAAGGGCATTGCCCTTCATTTGAACAAACTTGAATCCCCTTTACCCAAGGATACTTTGTAGCAAGTTTGGTTGAAATTGGCCCAGTGGTTCTTGAGAAGAAGATGAAAACAAGAGGCCCAGGGGCCACAGCGCTCACCTGAGCACATCAGCTAGGAAAAAACACATATCAGATCAGAACTGAAAGTTAAGTTGGGGAGGAAGGGGGGTGAATTTTAACCCCCAAGGGGATCATAATTTGAACGAACTAGAATCTACATTACCTGAGGATGATTCCATTCAAATATTACTAATCCTGGCTTTGAAGTACTTGAAAAGAAGATTTAAAAAGGTTTCCCTATATATTTCTATGTAAAACTTTGGTCGGCCATTTTGGCCACACCCTTACCCCGGGGTCATGACTTGAACAAACTTAAATCTACACTACCTGAGGATAATTTCACATGAGTTTCATCTTTCCTGTTTCAATGGTTCTTGAGAAGAAGATTTTGAAAGATTTTTCCTATATATTCCTATGTAAAACTTTGATCGGCCATTTTGGCCCCGCCCTACCCCTGGGGGTCATGACTTGAACAAACTTGAATCTACACTACCTGAGGATAACTTCACATGAGTTTCATCTTTCCTGTTTCCATGGTTCTTGAGAAGAAGATTTTGAAAGATTTTTCCTATATATTCCTATGTAAAAATTTGATCGGCCATTTTGGCCCCGCCCTACCCCCGGGGGTCATGACTTGAAAAAACTTGAATCTACACTACCTGAGGATGATTCCACATGAGTTTCATCTTTCCTGGCCCAGTGGTTCTTGAGGAGAAGATTTTTTAAAAATGCCAATAATTTTTCTCTAAATCATGATTATCTCCCCTTGGAAAAGGGCGTGGCCCTTCATTTGAACAAACTTGAATCCCCTTCACCCAAGGATACTTTGTGCCAAGTTTGGTTGAAATTGGCCCAGTGGTTCTTGAGGAGAAGATGAAAATGTGAAAAGTTTACGACAACGACGACAACGACAACGACAACAGACAACGGACAAATTTTGATCAGAAAAGCTCACTTGAGCCTTCGGCTCAGGTGAGCTAAAAATGTGAAAAGTTTACGACGACGACGACGACAACAACGACGGACAAATTTTGATCAGAAAAGCTCACTTGAGCCTTCAGCTCAGGTGAGCTAAAAATCAGAAGGAACAACAGTGTCTTAAATTTATTGCCTTCATTACTTTTTCTTTCTCATCTCCAGTGAATCCATAATGTAAATGATAAAATGAATCTTGCTTCTTTTTTTGTAAATTTTATCAGCACCAAATATATGAGCCAAAATTGTAAATTGTTGCAAATATATATGAAACTGGTAAATACATTTTTTTCATGAAAATGTTCCATAAAAATGATAAAAATAAGGTATGTCACAAACAAGAGTAATTAAGGTTATTAAACTATGTTTTTGCAATTACACTGCACAACATTGCTGACACAGTTGAAAGAACAAACATTTTTTCAATATATATAAAGATGTATGGCACATTTATCAGTTGGGAAGGTTTCTCTCCAGGTATGGTATTTCAATATGAACTGTATACATAACAAATCATGCTTTGGTAAGTACTAACGGAAAATGTTCCTTTTTGTATTATGAAAGATTGTAGTACATGAATGTAGGTGAGTAAAATTAACAAAAAATTGCATTGCCACTATGGAATATGAACAATGTATAAAGCTTACATTTATTATACATGTATCAAAGAACAAATAATGCATATGTATTCAAGCATATGTAATGATTCAAATGATAAGATTTCAGTCTGTTTCGTAGAGGTGAATTTCGATTCATCCAGCCTTTTTATCTAGTTTGACAGTTTTATCTACAGATGGGTTCAAAAATTCCTTTCCAGTCATGTCTGTCAGGTTGGTGCAATCTCTTATAGCAGAATTTGACACCTTCATAAAAATTAACAGAATTAATGCATGTTTCAGAATTTTGAAGACAGAATTCATAAACTTTAAGCTTTATGTCCTTAAGTTAAAATTGTTTTCAATGCCATCTTAAACTTCCAAAATAAATATAACATGTACATGATCTTAGAAAAATTTTTTTTTTCAAGCATTTTGAAATTTGCCTGACATTACCTTTTCCAGGGGAGTGTACTGTGGATGATGATGGGGAATGACAGGGTTATTGGCCTTGGTATTGTACGCCACAAGAAATGCCCATCTTCTCAACTCGCTGTTATTGGGGCCACTGGTATGTAACAAATTACTGTGAAAAAACAGTGCATCACCTACAAAATTTTGACAAAAATTATCAAACGCCAATATGGAAAACACCAAAGGCCGTACAAACAAATCAAAACCTTTATCTAGCTGGTTACAAATACAACGTGTGAAACAGTGAATAAATTCAATACACAGAGGCAAAACAGTTCGTACACAAAATCTACATTTTAGATAAATCGTTCCTAAATGATTCGTGATATAACACAACATAACATAATGGCGCAACTTCCTTTTGCTTCCTTTAAGTATAAAAACTGCAAAGAAATTAACACTATTACAAGTACTATAAATGACAAATATTCGATTTGAACTTAAACTAATAAGTCACATAAACAGCAATTCATTCATGATACGACGTAGTCTTGCAGGTATTTGGGCGGACGACGGTCACGAACAGGTCGTTGAGATGGTGATTCTGATTGTTGAGGTGTGACATCCTCAGTGAAGTCTTCAGGAGCAGGAATCGTATCTGTAGGGTGACATTCAGTTGGGTCAATAACATTGCTGGGTGGTATAGATAAAAGCGGCGGTATTTCAATGGAATCTTTTGACGGTTCCTGCAATACTTTTGTTATGTCATGGTTTTCATGGGTGCTGTCCTGGGAATCTTCAGGTTCTTCGGAATCATCAAACTCAGACTGAATAGGTGATTTGGACTGAGATATCTCACATGGTACACGATAACATTCCACAAGTTTAACTTTGTAAGAACTAGCACGCATTTGGCGTCCAGAGAATTTTTTTATATAACACCATTCTCCGTCAATTGCTGTAATTATGTAGCGGCTCCGAGCTTTAGACTTGTCACGATCACAATAAAGGTAGACTAGATCTCCAACTTGAAGTGACAGGTGATGTTGGGTCTTGTTGCTTTTCCATTTGGATAGAGCGCTGGAAGGGTGGTTGTTTTCTCGAAGGGTTTGTTTGGATGTAATGGTATGAAGATCACAAACAGGAATTTGTTCGTTGGTGTACTGACTTCGCTGAGTCCACAATTCACGTGCTGACAGTCCGGTGAATCTGATCCGTGAGTTTAGTCTGGCGACTGCTATTGTCAGCTTAAGTTCGGTCACAGGGCCTCCTCCTGGCTCCTGTCGTAGTATTTCTTCCTCCAACTCTTCTATGGCCTTTTCAGCTACAGGGTTTTTGTTCTGATTTTTAACTCTACCTATTTCTATAGAGATGCGGTATTTCATTAAAGTATCATCATCCTGAAGGGCCACGAATCCAGGAGCAGGATCTACTCGAATAACAGCCGGAGGACCATCTAAAGGGCGTAACTCAAGGGCAAGACGGAGAATAGCTTCCCGTAATGTATCTCGTTTCTCATCATTGATAAGGCATGCAACAGTGTATGATGTCACGCATTCTCTCAATAGAAGGATGAGTTGACGGTTACGCTTAAGAACATCAGCAGCGAACTTTATGACGAGTGCTTCAGTTGGTTCTTCAGAGGACTGAGGAACAAGTTGATCAGGAAACTTTTTCAGGGAGGCACAAACATGGCATGACTCACAGACGTTTTCAATGGCCTTTGCCAGGTCAAGGGCATAAAAATGTCGTTTCATGACAAGATTCATCTGATTACGGGTAGGGTGATCAAGTGTGACATGTAGTGCAGTCAGTAATCCCTCTAACACAGTTCTTGGCACAATGATCAATTCTGTAGTAGGTTGAAATGGGTTAGGACGACGTACAACTAAAAGGCCATCTCTTGCGATGCTGGCAACACTAAGGTATCGTTTGACATCTCTAATGTTGGTTAGTTTTCTAGATGGACGGGTTCCTTGTTTAAGGTGTGCATGGGTTCTTCGCAGATCAGCACACTCTGACTGAATGGAGAGCCAAGCTGAGCATGTTGTGAAAGGTAGGTTGACTTTGCTGTCAAGTACATCTTGTAAGCAAACAGACCGCACAACAGAGTCTTCTGTTTGAGCAATGAAACTGCAGATCTGGCACCTAGGTTCAGAACACTCTGGAGCATTGCGACTTGCAAAATCTGAGGGGACATTTGCTGACCCAGCAAGGTGTTGGATGGAAGTGCGGTAGCGACTAGCTACAGACAGAAAAGACGTGACTCTTGGACTTGACGAGAACTCGCCCCGGCGAAGTTTTTCAAAGGCTTCAACACATGGTTTGCTATCGGTGAGTACATGAGTCTGTTTTGTTGATTGGATTATAAAGGGACTGAAGTGTTTAATAGCCGCAGCAATACACAGTGCTTCAATCTCACAAGGAAGCCATGTTACCTGATGCTTTCTCAATTTTGCACTAAAGAATCCAGCAAGATTCAATTTTCCATCGCGCATAGCATACATAGTGGCGCCTAGTCCTCTCTTACTCACTGAGCCATCAGTAACAACCCACAGTTCATCAGATGGTATAGGTAAGATAATGGTCTTGTTTGAGGACAGTTTTTCCTGAGCATTGGTAAAATGTTCCCGCAATTCATCAGTCCACGGCACTTTGTCTTTTGACTGCATTCCTCCTATTGAGTTTTCCAGTGGAGTAAGAATGTCTGAACAATTTGGGATCACCCGACCGAGAACTTTGTACGCTCCGAGAAAAGATCTAAGGGCATTTACAGTTTCAGGAACACTACATGAAGATAAAGTGGACACCTTGTGTTTGCTGGCAGAGATCTTTCCTTCTGTCCAGTTCCATCCAAGTATTGTGGTTGAGCGAGGGCATACTATGGTTTTTGTTGGAGACAAATGAAGTCCACTTTGTGCAAGGGACTTGAGTACACATTCCCAATTATGAAGTAATTCTTCCACTGTTTGTCCTCCACAATATAGGTCATCTGCTAGTTTTGCTACGCAGCCCTCTTGTAAACTGTCACCAAGTACTCTGCACATGAGTTCTTCCAGAGCTGTTTCAGATCCAGGCATGCCCATTGCGCATCTGGTATACACACGTATCCCTCGATAGGGTGTTACAATTCCGCAGTATTTTAAGGATGGTCTTGAAAGGGGGATCTGGTAGAATGCACTTGTCAAGTCAGAGACAATAATGTATTTCCATCGACCAATAGTGCGAAGTGTTGAATCGACATCTGGCATGAGCGACGGCTGTGGCTTACTGTAGCGTCCCACATCTTCAAAGGCTGTGACAAGTCTGTAGCCTCCGTTAGGTTTTTTGACAAGGAAGGAGGGGTTAAGGTATTCAACAGTTATATTCACATCTTCAGGTTTTCTAAGTACACCCAAGGATTCGAGTTCATCGCACTTTTGTTGCAATTCTTGTAATTTGTCTCTGGAATATTGTGGCAGCCTTCCTTTTCGTTGTGGGGGTTGGACAGGTCCCATGTTGATATGACACTCAAATTTGCCAGCTGCTCCATTGTACCCTTTGAACATAGGATCAAATATAGAGTCATAATTCTGAAGTAGCTTGTTAAATTTATGGCGATCAGTTGTTGTCAGAATATTGTCCGGATCTACACTGACAGTATCAGAATTGAAATTTGATGATCCTGATGATCTGGAGGTGATGGGTATGGGATCTGTTGTAGACATGTAGTTTGTACGCTCATCCAAATCTATGAACTCTGTAGAAGTATGGTGAAGTTGGCACAAGTGGTCGTTTTTGAGGATTAAGTGGGGTTCATTAGTGTCATTCAAGAGTCGAATTCTACCCCCTACAGCTTCGACTAGAGTTGGTTTAGGCCAGTTCAAGAGTGTGTTATGACGTACTCGTGGTTCCATTGACAGAGTGGATTCGGGGTGTAGAGCATCAGGAATCTTGAGTTCTAGGTATGTTCCAGGCCAAACAACTGTTGTTTTTGGTTCTGCCCTAAGAATGAAGGCTTGAGCACGGCGTACATGACGGGGAGTTGTAGGACCGTCCTCAGGTAGGTAATGAATAACAGTAGAATCCCTAATGGTCACTTGGTTTTTGGAGGGGCGTATGCCAATGTCATTGCACTTCATGAATGGCATCCCTGCCAAAATGTCAACATCTAATTCGTTGACGACTAGGGCATCAAGGTGAAGTATTTCACTGTCGCGAGATAGGGTTAAGTGTACTTCCCCAACACTGTCGAGTGGTGTCAAACCATCAGCTTGGAGAGCGTTTTGTGATGTCCTTTTAATAGGGGCTCCAATAAACTCTGCAAATGCTGTCTTTATCATGCTTATTTCTGCACCAGAGTCAATAGTTAAATACACAGGATGATGCTCATAAAATACTTTGATTTGAGCTGATTTTGTAGTGCTAACGCGGCGGGTTGAGGGTGTAAATGACTGATCACCGTCGTCGAATATGAGATGCTCGTGAATGTCATCTGGGGGCTCTTCATTGTCGGAGTCCTCTGCTTCTACCAGTCGTCTTGACTTGGTCATAAACCGTTTATCTCCTTCCGGCAGAAATTTGCATGTACTGAGAAAGTGGTCAAATCTGACCCGTCCTGCCTGTTTACATAAAGGACACTCTCGTTTTACTGTTGGAGTGAGGGACTTCTTATTTGAGGTTTTTGTCTGTTTGATAAAGGCAGTGCGTAGAACTTTGGAGTCATGAGATGCATGAATTTCATCGAGTAAGGTATCAAGAGCTTGTGAAATTTCTGGTTTAATGGAAGCCAAAGTTTTGGAACGTAGTTCTGTGCCATATCGTTGCTTGACTAATGCAGGGAGGTCCTTATGTATAAGTCTCAACCAGGTGAGTATTACAAGATTCTCAAGTGTTGGAGAAAGTTCCTCATCTGCTTCCGGTATGTCACCATGGTGGCTGATGTTTCCATTAGGAGTAAGTAGATTGTCTTCTATAAAACTCATAAGGCGTTGATATAGATCCTCTGGTCTCTCCCCTGCCTCCAAATGAATGTTGTCAAAGTCCAAAAAGTGACTTCCGGTTGATTGGAATCCATAATGTTGTCTGATTGATTGCCATATTGCATTGACAGAAGTGGAGTTTTTCACAATAGTGTTTCTGGATACCACAGGACAAAAGTTAGCTATCTGACCCAGCATCAGTTCAAGGTGAGTAACTTTCTGTGCTGCTGTGCGTCTGGCATTCTCAGCCACGTTTTCATCGTCATCTTCAAATCCTCTTAGGGGAGTTCCGGGTGTCTTTTTAAGCCAAGTGAACCCATTGACTAGGAACGGTGCAAAATTCGTATCTAGTGAAAGTGTATATTGGAGATTTTGGCGCCAAGCTTCGAACGAAGTAATAGTTTCATTCTTTGTTAATGGCCACTGTTTCGGTGCACGTGTTCACTGTCGTGATCCCGTGACGGATTGGACAAAACAAGATGGCGGCGAGAACAAATCGAAAAAGGTAGGTACCTGAGATTTCGGTAAATATCCCCCGATAACCGTCAGATATGCTTGATTCGAAGACACTGTCGAATTCCTAGTAAAATGTTTAATAGTGTGTTTAATTGCTACTTTTCCTATTATCTCTTAAACTTAAACATTTAACGACTGAAGACTGCAGAATTTCTCCGATTGAGTTTGAAGCGGCATGGAGTTGATTATTTCTTCGATTTTGACAGTTTAATGCATCCAGCAGCAGGAGTGTGGCTAACAAATGATAATTTGGAGTAATGCTGACCCGTTGTTATATGTTTATTTGTTATAACCCATTCTATTACAAAAATATTTCGATTTAAAAATGTTGACAAGTGCTGGATTGGAATCGGTTGATTTTAATGGAAATTGTGCCGGATTAGACTGCATTTTTGGTGCCGGATTGGATGATGTTCATGATAGTCATTTATGTAATAACTTTTTTCTCTTTTATTTTTAAGCTATGGATGCATAGTTCAATGAAATACCAGGAGGAATTTAATAAAGCTTATCTAAGCATCTGCACTCAGGAGTTTTGTAGAGAGTGACACCTGACAAGCACATAAGAATTGACCATGAAGCAGCAGAGAGGTATCGATGCATTATCTAAGACAGATGCTACAGGTGGAAGTACAACCTACGACAGTACATGTACATCAAGAACAGGCATAGAGAAATTCAGAAAGTCCGAGGAACAGACACTGACCAAAATATTTTTAGGATCTTAGGCCCAGATAGACCGTGCAAATGTATATCTGTGAAAATTTCAAATTCAAAACAATTGTACTGATTTCTCTCATTCATATTGTTTCAAAGATTTTTTTATATTATTTTTCTTGCACGCATTTTACTTTTTTGTTTGTTATCGTTAGACACAAAAAATGTTCATGACTGTTATTTTATTAAATTTTAACAAAAAATGTCCGAAATTTACTTCGTCTTTTTTGAATATCTCTTCCCCGTCGTAGATTAAGGAATGCCCCTTTGTCTTCATTGACAATTTTTTCTAGCAAGTTACTATTTTACCAAAATTTATTGTAAACAATTTTACGGTAAGTTCATTTAATTTGCCGTATAACAGAAAAAACATTTTGATGTCGTCTTCTGAAATACAACCAAATGTGAAATTCTAATATTCTACCCGATCATGTTCATGGTTTTGTAAAGTACATCCACGTAGCATCGTTTTAAAGGGGGGGGCAGCCAGAGAAATTTCAATTTCAAAGCCAACTTCTTTCAGTAACATTTTTTAATACTACATTTACCTTATATCACAAAAAGTTGGGGGCCATCCAGCCCATCAATGAACATTTACTATAGCATATTAAGTAATGTTGTTTCAGACTTATTAATTTCAACTTAATTTTAATTCATCAAAAATTAAATTAATTGCATTACTTAAAATGTAATATTTTACACATTAACAACGAAACATTTGAAGCTAAATTACATCGATATCGGTATCAAGCGTTAAACTGTTATCTGAAATCAAAAAATTAAAATAGGCCTACACATGTAACTTCGAAAATAAAGAACACATACACATTTTATTTAAGGAAGGATATGGAGATAACGAACAGTATTCAATCTCAAAGTCCATTAAACAATATACAAAATAAGAGCAGGGCAAACACGGACCTCCGAAACATCAGAGGTGGGATCAGGTGCCATGGAGGAGTGAGCATCCCCTGCCGACCGGTCACACCCGCCGTGTGCTCGTTGTCATGATCAGGAATTAACGGAAAAAATCCGTCGTCAATCAGTGTATAAATAATGGACTAACAATTGGTATGAAAAACGTCAGTCAGCATTTGACTCAATGATAAATTGTATTTGCTGACAAGGTCATTGTATCGACCAATGATATATTTATTATGTTAAACCAATTTAGAAAAAAACATACAAAAAGCAGTTTATTTGCATTAAATTATAAAATTTTACTAGCGTACCCTAAAGTACTCTTTTGTACTAGCGTACGTAGGTACTCTGTTAAGTAGGATCGAATTTCGCCAATGGCAAACTCTAAAAATAACCTCGAATGTACATGTACTACATAGACTCCATGACAACCCCCCTTTTCACAAACTTTGAAATAAATGTTGGAAGACCTCTTATCTGTGGAGTATGAAGTTTAACTTTATTGACTGCAATGATATTACCTAAAATATACAAGAGAAGGGACTTCTAAACCCTTCAATCCTATATTCAAATAAACAGGAAATGTATAAATTTTTAACACCCCTTGATGATGATACATTCGAGGCTGTTTTTCTGACCTCTGAGGGAAAAGCCCTACTATGTAACATAATGCAATTTCGAATTTCGCCTCTTGTGCATGGTGAAATTCTCGTATGCTTAAGTTCAGGGCTTTGCGGACGATTCCTCTGGCTTACTAACGGTTCCTCCTTTCCTTTTTTCTGGCCCCACGAGCTCTTTGGGGTTTACCAAAACAGTGGTCTCTGTAAAAGAAATATGGGTACAATGAAATTTGAGATAAAATGAAACAGGAGAAAAAAAAAGATTTTTAATCGGGGGGGGGGGGGGGGGGGGGGGGGGGGGTGACCATACTGTAACTGATAACAATCTTACTTCGGTGAGATAAGCTATATTATTTAAATTCCTCCTTCTCGTATATTTTATTAAACGATGCATCCATATCTTAAAAATTGAAGAGAAAAGAAGTTATTACATAAATGACTATCATGAACATCATCCAATCCGGCACCAAAAATGCAGTCTAATCCGGCACAATTTCCATTAAAATCAACCGATTCCAATCCAGCACTTGTCAACATTTTTAAATCGAAATATTTTTGTAATAGAATGGGTTATAACAAATAAACATATAACAACGGGTCAGCATTACTCCAAATTATCATTTGTTAGCCACACTCCTGCTGCTGGATGCATAAAACTGTCAAAATCGAAGAAATAATCAACTCCATGCCGCTTCAAACTCAATCGGAGAAATTCTGCAGTCTTCAGTCGTTAAATGTTTAAGTTTAAGAGATAATAGGAAAAGTAGCAATTAAACACACTATTAAACATTTTACTAGGAATTCGACAGTGTCTTCGAATCAAGCATATCTGACGGTTAACGGGGGATATTTACCGAAATCTCAGGTACCTACCTTTTTCGATTTGTTCCCGCCGCCATCTTGTTTTGTCCAATCCGGCACGGGATCACGACAGTGGTGTTGTAGCCATGTCAATAGTTTCAGATGAGTTATGTGACGTTTGAGGTTTCTGATATGCACAGTTCGGGTATAACTGAGTTGTTTGTATGCACTTTCGCTTTGGCAATTGTGTTTACTCACATTCGCATGAATTAAAATTGTTGTCCGCTCTTCGGGATGTGGAATAACGTATACCGCTGCCACCACGCCAATATGGAAAACACCAAAGGCCGTACAAACAAATCAAAACCTTTATCTAGCTGGTTACAAATACAACGTGTGAAACAGTGAATAAATTCAATACACAGAGGCAAAACAGTTCGTACACAAAATCTACATTTTAGATAAATCGTTCCTAAATGATTCGTGATATAACACAACATAACATAATGGCGAAAAGCTTAATTGATGGAATTTCTCTCATTACCGGTATATTAAACTCAGTAGGAATTTCTCAGTAGTATTGAAGGATATACTTCAAAATTTCTGAGGCAAATTTGCACAATTGTTCTCTATATATTTAAAAAAAAAATGACGGGCAACTCAATATTTAAAATTTTGTTCTAAACTTTTATTTTTTGTCAAAGTATGAGTACTCTGACAAATTTTATACCAATATAGCTAATATAATACATGTACAAGTGATTTGTGATTATATAAATATTGCATGTAGTTGAGTGTAACATTGAAAATATTCACCCCAAGAAAACCATTGTCAATCGAGGCATCATTTATTATATTATACTGAATGTTTTATACAAATACATATAACTGTGAACCATGCACACATAAATTCTGCGCAGTCACTATTTTTTGGAATATCACCCGTCGTCAAGCAATGTTGACTGTTGCTACACTGGAGGGCGTGGCTTCATTATTTAGCGGGTAATAGTGTTTTTTAACAAATGTTTCTTGACTAATCAGATTCACCTAATTTACATGAAAGTATAATATTGTAAAATAACACACCTGGTTCCATTTCTACATACTCCATTGGGCACACTTTTTCAATTTCTTTCACTCTCTCTACATCTGCCCCAGTTTGACCAGCCACCATCAAATGTTCAATTCTTCCACATTTGTGAGAACCTTGCAGGATCTGGAAAGAGTTAAACCTACCATCTAAATTTTTTCTGAAAGTTATTTTTCTTGAGTTTTCCACTGTAAAAAGAGATTTGCATTATAAATATACCTGTAAGCATCCATTTGCTTTGTTGCACTTGTCTATTGCAATGAACACAGTTAACAAGTCTGGAAACAGACAACCATTCTTGTACCAGTACCTGAGTAACAAAAGATCAACATACAGTAAAACCTTCTAATTCAGATGGTGTGTATCCTGAAACCTTGCTTATATGAAAATGTTACTTTCATTCAAATGTTTAAAATGTTATCCTCAGAACCAATGGTGTCTGGATAAAACAAGCTTTACTGTATGAAATAACATTTTTAACATAATGCAATATATACTCTGTCCTACACAGATATACGGAATTGGTTTTATCAAAAGACATTAGGTATACCCATAGTCCTGATGCCATAAGTGACTTCCTCCTGTTTTTGCTTCTTTCATCATAAGTTTAGTATGATAGTGATACACTTCTCCACCAAGTAACTACATGATAATTGAAAGTGATATTACATATATTATCAAATTAATTTTAAAATATTTCATGCCCATGCCCAGTAATAGTGTTTTAGAAAATTTCAGGGCATCAGGTGATCTGTTTTTATCAATTCAATATTTTACATATAATTATGTAAGTATTCCCTATAAGTTTGTAGGGTATAAACTTTCTGTAAAAACATTTTACAAAGCACTCTGGATATAAGAATACCTTTTCACTGGTATTAACTATTTTCTCACACCTCCCCACCATTCCTGTGACATCACTTCCTGGATGACTCCACAGCGCCATCTTGCATTCCCTTCCTGATCCATCAGAGATCTGTGAATTAACAAAAAAATCAAATTAAATGTTAATAAGAAATACATGGATCCTGTTTCTTGTAAAATTTAATTTGTAGAAATGATGTGTATTTTAAACCTACTCCATAAGAATGCTTGGTGATTTCTTTGTTGTCTTCAAGCACTTCTTTCACTTTTTGTAGCTCAGTACTATCAAGAAGTTTTCTGTATAAAAAATTGTATGATTTTTTAAGCAAATAAAATTTATCAAGGAAGGCATAATCAACTTCACATACAAGAGTATTGATTCATTGATTCCACAAAATCACTGCACTGCTAACATGTATCACTGCAACATTGAACATTTCTCATTGAAAGATGCACTTACTTTATCCCTAACTAAGCAGTTTCTATCTAAAAAAAATTAAACCACTTGGATGGGAGAAATATAGAGGATTTCCATCTTTAAATGCCTGCAGATATCTACTAAATCTTATTTATTAGATGCAATATTTTTCTCTCTTTTACTTACCTGACCATTATGTAACCATAATTGTCGAAATCTTTCTTCATTTTGTCAGTTATCTCAAACTTTCCATCCTCATAAACATACTCTACATAATAGAAAATGATCATTCATTCACACTTACACAAAATTGCCTGAAAACTATTACTGTAACAGTAGTCAAAATAGCTGGAACTGCTTTTTAAAAAAGCCCAGAAATATTAATAATCAGCATTTGATTCAGTTTAGAGCAAGATAAATTATTTTTCTCAAAAATTGATGGATAGTTGATTTTTATATTTTATATAATACAAATTATACCCGCCGATGTCATCTTGTTCTTCTCTGAAATGAGAAAAAAATTGATATAAATGTGTGTTGGCTGTGCGCACCTGCAGACAAATGAAGAGGTATACGCGGTGATTTTGAGCAAATTTATTCTTAATCATAACGAATTTTCTTTCTCAAATAATAATAAATCGCCCAATGCATTCTTTTTTTCTATACTACCAATAAGCCAGAGGATTAACATAATACAATATCTTAACACTCAGTTGACGTTAATTACGTCTCTCCCCCCAGATACAGCCGTCTATGCAAGCCATGAGCACTAAGCCTAGAAAATCTTGGAAACAATAGAGTGACATTCTCATTTACAAAATAATATGGATGTATCTGTTCAATATAGCAATAAAACAATGATTACCTGAGGTCAAAATCTAAACTTGTACAGTTGAGATGATTGTGGTCGCAAAGTGAAAGTAGGTTAATCTGGGGCTTGTTTACGTTTTATCTCAAGAATTCACTCCCCATAACTGTGATCACTCTTTAGAGATTTACTGATTGTCATTACTGATAGACACGTACACGTTTACTTCGTTTGACATAACATCATTTTGGAAAGTCGCAGGGAGGAGCCAGAAAAATGAAAATAAATAAATTATCCAAACTTGAAACGAATCCTAGCTATTTCGTTAGGGAAGGATGGGAAAGGGGGGCAACCAACCTTTCTGTGAAACTATCAACTAGTGAAATTGCCAACTGGACCTTGTCCCAGTGTTTGTCAATTTTTTTTTCACATCCCGCTTATTTCTCACTGAGTTGCCTGCGTGGCGCAGAAGTAGAGCGTCTGCTCTAGAGCAGCGTAGTGAAGGGTTGTTAACCGAGGTCCCATGTCGCAGTATATTTAGATGCTGGCACGAACAAGATTCCTCATTGCCCAATGGCCCTGTGTGCCGAGTATAGGTCAAAATTTCCTGCCCTCCATCGGCAAGTGCCAAGTGGTGGCGTCTCCATATATGAGTATAACATTCTCGAGAGGAACGTTAAACAACATACAAACAAAGAAAATTTCCCATTGATCGGTTTTATACTATGTCTTCACTTTTCATTCTGTTTCCCATTTTATTATCATTATTTTGTGCATCTGTTTTTTTTTTAAATCATTTCTTTGTCTCTTTAGTTCACAGATCTATCAGTCATTAACTTTATATATTCTTGTTAAAATCATATGTTTGTTGTTTTAAATTTTTACATTTTACACCTTCGTATAAAGGTTTTGTAATGGTGATGTAATTTAAATAAATCGCTATCAATAAAAATATTGTGGGCAAGTAATGAGTCAAGGCATATGAGCTGACGATGAACTAATATTCAAAATGAGGGCATACACATAAATGTATTTGAAATTACTACTGATGAAGAAATCCCTTAAAAATTAATTCAGCATATTAATTAAACACTTTTGTAGGCCAAAAAGAGATAAACTGGTATTTTTTAAAAAACATAACACTACTACATTGTAAAATGGACATCGACCATGCTTCGAGTTTGTTTATAAAACTTTAATTTTAAATGGAAACGTGATCCGCGGGGTATATTTTCCTATTCTTTTTTATGAACTCTTTCAATATTAAACTAGAACTGTCCAATCGGGACAAAATACCCCCCGCTGGGTTTTTCAGAAGTAAGTTTTTGTATAATAAAGATATGTATCAAACACGAATTATAAAATTTTTCTTCCAGTGACCTTGAACTTCCCCAAATGACCTTGGGTCAAGGTCAGGACACACCCTTGGGTCATGGGCAATCTTTGAGTGAAATAAGAACCTACCAAGTTTATCCATAAGAAAGATATGGAACGGACACGAATTATTAAATTTTTCTACCAGTGACCTTGAACTTCCCCACATGACCTTGGGTCAAGGTCATGACACACCCTTGGGTCATGGGTAATCTTTGTATGAAATGAAAACCTACCAAGTTTATCCTTAAGAAAGATATGGACCGGACACGAATTATTAAATTTTTCTACCAGTGACCTTGAACTTCCCCACATGACCTTGGGTCAAGGTCATGACACACCCTTGGGTCATGGGCAATCTTTATGTGAAATGAAAACCTACCAAGTTTATCCATAAGAAAGATATAGACCGGACACGAATTATGAAATTTTTCTTCCAGTGACCTTGAACTTCCCCAAATGACCTTGGGTCAAGGTCATGACACACCCTTGGGTCATGGGCAATCTTTGTGTGAAATGAGAACCTACCAAGCTTATCCATAAAAGATATGTGTCAAACATGAATTTTGAAATTTTTCTCCCAGTGACCTTGAACTTCCCCAAATGACCTTGGGTCAAGGTCATAACACACCCTTGGGTCATGGGCAATCTTTGTGTGAAATGAGAACCTACCAAGTTTATCCATAAGAAAGATATGGACCGGACACGAATTATGAAATTTTTCTTCCAGTGACCTTGAACTTCCCCAAATGACTTTGGGTCAAGGTCATGACACACCCTTAGGTTATGAGCAATCTTAATGTGGAGTAGTAGATTCTAATGTCCCTCTGTAAGAAAGATATGGACCGGACACGATTGCACAGACAGACGGACAGACGGACAGACAGACAGACGGACAGACGGACAGACGGACAGACAGACAGACGGACAAGGTGATTCCTATATACCCCCCAAACTTCGTTTGCGGGGGGTATAAAAATTCGATAATTTCCCTCGTATTTCTGTGTCAAACTGTTAAAATACATATTTGACGCTACATATTGTTCTTATATTATAAATATAACTCCATGTCTCATAAGATTAATATTAGGTAAGGATTTAAATCTTTTTTGTTTCAAAATTGAAAATTATGTGTAACGTCAAGTGCCTGTGTAGTTTGATTTTGGGAAGGTTGATCAGCGAGGTTCTATTACTAATTAACAAAATAATGGGAATTATTGATTAAAACAGATTCTATTGAATCAGAGTGTGAAATCCCATTCACAATGAATTAGCACAGTCTACGTCATTGTCATTGTCACAAGGAATCGAAAGGTTAAGAAACTGGGACAAGCCGGCTTCATTAATATTTATTCCAAGTTTGGATATACGCTTCATACAGTATTTAGGAGCTGATTCAAAGCAATGGCTAACAAAAATGTTAATTGGTACAATATTTAATAGCAACTGTAAACAATTATTCTATATTCATTAAGTGTATATAGAATATACATATTAAAATGTTATGATTCCAACCAAAAATAAGCCCTAAGATGCATCCAATGTTTGTAGCCTGTATGAATTATTAAATTTTACTTCACTGAACAAAGACTACAGAAATGATTTTTAAATCTATCCTTGATTACACTTAAAGCGAGCGCAGGGAGCGTCGCGAAGCGACGCTCGTAACTGCGAGCTCTAGCGACAACGCCTGGGCGAAGAGAAAATTCGGACTACTGCACATTCATTCTTTAGAATTTTTTGCTGCAGTAATTTTGACCCACAATGCATCACTTAGCAAAGTTGCGTTCTCGCGAGAATGACGGCCAATGGCTAATTTGTAACTTACATACGACGTCATGTGACGTCAGAGTCTAGACGCACCAAATGTCACGTGCGGTTTGACGAGCCCGATCTAAATTTTAACAATAGAGGAGTTTGTGCTCGCTCTAACGGTCGCACCGTCAACATATTATACATATACAATACGAGGGCCGTTCAAAAATTAAGCGGACTTGTTGCACAGAAAAAATATTTGACGACATAATCGGGCAAAATGTCACACATAATGTAAAAGAATCTTTACTTATGGTCTTCAAAATTTCATATCAAAATGTTGTAAATTTGTATCAATTTTGAGTGATTTATCAGGACATATCATTAAGTCACGGAGCAGCAAAATCTTCGACGTCACAGGCATTATAAAAATATATATGATTAAGGTTTCATTTTCTCAACATTTTCCCAAGAGTACCTGTACATTAATTGATTGACCTTATCTACTCAATATCCAAACACCATTTCTTGTCAACCTTAAAATCTATTAAACAAGTCAAGAATATTCTTTTTTGTTTTAAAACCAAAAACTGCAGGTATTTATGAGATATAGTGTGATATTGGTGACTCTCAATCACGTTCTTTACAGTCCGGATAAAGTTTTCGTCGATAATCTTCTTCCCGTCCTCCCGTATAGCCTTTTTTACAGAGCTCTGTCTAAAATTTCAATTTGCTATTTGTGGACGAATGTCATGAATACCCTAGTTTACTACATGTTTTATTATGCATATTTTGGATCTATGTTGGCGATATCTTGAGCAATACACATAATTTAACACAAGTGTGGTGCGCCGTCAATTCAAGGAGACGTCATTTTCACAGTCGTTTTCACGGGAATCGCATCGGAGAAAAATCACTATATTTCTGTAAATACCACAAATATCACGTCAGAAATCTAAATACATAATAATAGAACAATTTAAAGATACATTTGAGAAAAGTGTCGAAAAATATCGTGAATCATAGAAAAATTAATGAGTTAAATTTTAGATTCCGCATACTTTTGCTTTAAATTTTTTGCCGTGCTCCGTACCTCTCCATCAGCGATATCAACATACCGATAATTTTCGTAGAATATTTTTAAAATACAGAAATTTATTGGAATCTTAAAGATACATATTTCTGTGAAATTTCATAACTATATGACGTCTGTAAGAGTAAATAATAGCCCAGTCCGCGTAATTTTTGAACGGCCCTCGTACTTGCTGCCTAATATCTTGATAAAAAATCTTTTTTTTTATAATAAAAATTAACATACAATTTTATCCATAAACGTGCATTTTAACCTTTCTGTAAATACCCCCAATAGATGTTATCTCGTTAACACGGTTTTTAATTTGAAAGTTCAATATACAAAAATACTTTATTAATATTTGATTAAACCCTCCTGCGTTGACATAGATAAAAAGGAAATTGTTTTCCGACTAATCTTATTCAAACAAGTATCTTTGAAACTAGGCTGCGGAGCGTATTGACGTTTTGCTCAAAACATCGAACGGAATATTATGGATCAATGGTTTAGGGGAAAAGCTTTTGTCTTTTGAACTCGAATATGACGGTTATTTGTTTTTTCTCGGTCGTAAATGAATCATCTCTTGGTTTTTCGTTCTATTTTTTTAACATCCGACTTAAATCGATGCTTTTCCATTGTTTGAAACAACTACATGCATTGGGAAATTCCTCTTTGATTATTTTCGTGAACTTGTTGCAGGAATCGATCGCTTTTCCGCTGTATATATTATATATAACTATACACTGCCTGTTATCACGGGTAATTTTCACATTTCAACTAAATACTCGGGTAAATATTCCATATTTAGCATGGTGCTGATCGAGATGGCCTCGATGGATTGAACAACAGAAACCCGTTCTTTCGGAACTGAAGA